TTTGTCGCCAATTATTTAACTAAATTAAAAGCAAACAATTACTGTAAAAACAAAAACAAACCAAAAACAAAAACCACCACTACTAGTAACTTAGTAAAATGACAAGACACACAACGCCCCATACACATTTTCTTGAGGTAGGGTTTCATGTCAAGACATTAGGTTTCAATTACAAAAATCAAAGGGACCTAGAAAAAAAAAAAAAAAAAAAAAAAAAAAAAAAAAAGGTAAGCCAACCACCTCTACTGTTTCTTATTCCCAAACTATGTTTCTGACTTTCGATCTAATATATCTTTTCTTTATGTTTTCTACTGTCAATAATAGGTTTTTAATACAATCTATATTACAGTCTTCCTTTCTTGCTGGGCAATCAATGGTGGCGCACGCCTTTAATCCCATCACTTGGGAGGTGGAGGTAGGTGGATCTCTGTGCATTTGAGGCCAGTCTGGTCTACAGAGATAGTTCTAGGACAGCCAGGGCTATACGAGAAACCCTGTCTTGAAAAACAAAACAAAATAAACAATCAAACAAAAAACCCAAAACAACAAAAAAACATTCTCTTTCTTGGGATGGAAGTCAGATCCCCATGCACACAAAGCAGCTGTTCCTCTATTGAGCTGCATCATCATAAGCTTACGAGTGAAATTACTAGACGAATTAACTTTCTTAACTGAAATTCTACGTTCATGTAAGTCTTCTATATTTAACAGGGATTCATCTTGTTTATTCTAACGAAAAGCTAAACCCCATGACCTTCATTTAGTAAAAAACAAGCATAAAGAACAATTATTAGTTTTCTGATTTTACCATGCTTGAGTGCAAGGACTGACGGCACATGTACCTGTGTTTTCAGGGTCCGTTCAGTACTGATATTCTTTTCAAAGGCAACCTTAAGATTATTTATTTCTTCCTCTTTATTCAACTTATATTCTGCCAATAAATCAGGTAAAACATTACTGTACAGCATTAAATAATTTTATCTGCATTCCAAACTAACAATGTCCTCAATTGTTGAAATTACTATACACTACACAGTAATACACAGTACCTTTCAGTAATTTCATTAAGGTATCTACTTGATTTTGTTTTACATATATGTAGCCCAGGATGCCCTTAAACTTCCAATTCTCTTGCCTCCACCTCTCAGGTGTTAGGACTGCATGAATTTGTTCCCTGTCCAGATCATTAATATAATTCTTAAGCCTACATAAGTTAATACCCGAAAACAAGTATTAAAAAACGCAATGTAAAAAACAACTAATGATTAATCACAGAATTAGCATTTATTTATTTATTTATTTATTTATTTGTTTATTTATTTATTTATTGACATGGTCTCAACCAGGCTGACCTGGAACTCATAGTCTGCCTCTGCCTCCTGAGTGCAGAAATGAAAGGTGTCAGCTGTCATGAATGGCTACATTGTTTTTCGCTTTTTTAAAAAAGGTATGTGCAAAATTGCATCAGGCTCAGTTAAATGTATAAACGTATGTGGGCACTGCATGTTTGTTTCTGATTAGTATTGGATGCATGAGTTACTATGTTCTGTGTGTCTTGGTGATAGCTCAGCTGTTACACTGCAACTAGCTGCCTGGGCTTAGAATTCGCCTCTGGGCTTTCTGGCTACTGAATCTGATGTAATGACAGAGATTCATGTCATTAAAGTTATAATGTTTACTTTATTAAAAAACAGCTAAGGGAATCCCAATATTTATGGTTAAAAATCTGTAACAAGAAGTTAACTTAAAACTTGTAACTCTAAATTAGAGCTGTTCTGGGAAACAACACATGGTTTCCCACCATCTTAACTTAAACTTAAGTGTAGCCACATTGGCACTGGCCATTTTGACTAGGGTTGGGGAAGAGGGAGATCAAGTGACTTCACGGCCATCTTGACTGAAGGTGATCACATGGAGTCAGTCTACCAAGGAGACAACAGTTCTCCAAAATATCTTGGATTTGGATGGATTTTTGTATGATAATTCCTGTCCTGAAAACAAGGTCCATGAAAGACAGGATTTAAATCAATGTTGGTTTAATGAAGCATTAAAACTGCACCTTCATGTATTCATGTATAGGGACACATCTTGCTGGAAGTCAGACTTCATAACCTTAAGAGTAAATCACCTTGATACTGATTTTAGAGACACTAAATTGTTTATACTATCAAAACTTGCTTTTGCCTTCTAAAAAAAAATAATAAAGGTGTGTATGCATTCGCACATGCACTCTGGTAGGGAGCATTTGGAGGCAATCAGAGTTACAAGGAGGTTAGTTGTCAGCTGCCAAATGTGGATACTAGGAACAAAACTTGGGTCTTCTGTAAGAACAGCAAGCTATCTTAGTGAATGACCTGTCTCACTAGCCCTCATATTATAGCTTAAAAAAAAATTAATTATCACAAACTTAAAACAGATTTATTTTTATTTTATGTGTATGAATGTCCTGGCTGCACACGTGTCTCATGTGTACGGTTGGTGCCCTCAGAAGCTGTGAGAAGGTGTGGGATCTCTAGGAAGGTGTGGGATCTCCAGGAACTGGGAACCGAACCTGGGTCTTTTGTAAGAGCATCAAGTGCTCATAATTGCTGAGCCTTCTCTCCAGCCCCACACTGTCATTTGTTAAGGAAACGCCATATACCTTCTTCTGCTGTCCTCATCCTTTCATTTAGCTCTTCGTTTTCTTTTCTTAGTATTTCAATATCTTTGGTTAGCATGGTGTTTGTTTCTTCAAGCTAAACAAAGCAAACAAAGACTATGTTTTCATACTTAAAGTTAAAAATCTTTAAAACAATGCTTAACATCTTCTGCTGATAAAACCGGTTAAATATTACTTTAACTATAGAAAATGCCTAGTTTCCAGTTTAAAATATGTGAGTGAGCAAGGCATAGTGGTACACACCTTTGATCCCAGCATGCAGGAAGAAAAGAATATTGGATTTCTGAGTTCAGCACCAGGCTGGTCTACAGAGTGAGTTTCAGAATAACCAGAACTACACAGACAAACACTGTTTCGAAACCCCCTTGCCCCCCAAAAGTTAATACGTAAGTTACAAATATATTAGGAATAATTACCTTCTAAAAATGGTATGTGTACACATGTATGTATGTGTATGTGTTTATATATGTTAAGCATAATAAAGTCAAAAGGTGTATTATAAACAGAACTAGATGCAAGACTAGGAAATTTGAACTTGTTCCTAGCTCTGCTATTAACCTATGTGACCCTGGGGCAAGTCATTCTCCTGTGTCTCAGTTTTCTCATCTGAAGATGATGAAAATATTATGTTCAGCCTTGACTATTCCAAGTATACTGTTTTCTTGTAATCATAGTAACAACTGCACAGAAAGAACACTATTTCTGCCCCTGCCTCCAACCCCTTTGGTTGGGTGAGGGAGGAAGTAGGGAGAAGGTTAAGATAAGATCTAGTAATGTAGCTGGTTGTCTTTAATCCAGCACTTAGGAAGCAGAGGCAAGTGGATCTTTGTGAGTTCAAGGCCAGCCTAGTCTACAAAGTGAATTCAAAGTGAGTTCAGGACAGCCACATGCTGGAGCATAGGCATACAAAATCCAAAGCAGGCATGGGATATCTTCCTCTATATCTCCTTTAAGACACTGAGGCACAGTCTCTAATTGAACAGGAAATTCACTATTTTGGCTAGTCTGAGTGCACAGGAAGCTCTCAGGATCTGCTTGTCTCTATTCCCAAAGCTGTGATTACAGACAAGGGTAGCTAGCCATGTACATGTTCTTATAAGGGTGTTAAGAGATTCAAACTCAGGTCCTTTGCCTCTGAGAAGTTATGTGATCTCAGCAGATTGCATTAATTCTCTAAGCCTCAGATTTGCCAAAATTACAAAACTCCTCAGAGGCAAAGCCAGGATTTGAACCCAGGCGTGTTTACATCATAGTGCTTGCTAACTTCCAAAGAAAAGTTTCTGTAACTCCCACTGATCCCAAATTACTATACAGAGTACAGTATGGACCTTAACAACAGAGAATTGTAGGACTGATTTTGATCACAATGAATTATTAACAGTGAGTTTCTTCTTACCCCAGAATAGTGACTCAAATTTCAAAGAAATCTAGTCCATACAAACACTCTTAACATAGTAAGAAAATAAAAAAAATGAGTTTAGGATAAGCATTTACTCCAATAAATTGTAACACAGATCTGTAGCAGGGAAAAAAACCCAGTGTGCTGAATAAGACTTTCTATCATTCTCAACTGTTTTAGATAAGATAAACACAAGTACAGAAAGGTCACTTTACATAAGAGGCATTAGTAAATATGTATGCACACACTCCCCGATACTTTAAAATGTTACCTATTTTGACTTAAATCATTTTCAGTCAGATATTCACCTATCACTTACCCGGCTAACAGTGTGATCTTTATCTGTAATCTCTTGTCTATTTCTTGAAGCAGCTTTCTTGCTTTCTTGAGTCAACTCAAAATACTGTTCTTCCAGAATTCCTCGAGCCAATTGCTCAGACTCAGCTTTTGTTTCTGCTAGATCCAACTGAGTAGAAAGAGTTTCTCTGCAACAGTTTTAAGTGAAATGAGTAATAACAGAAAAATTTCAGTTCATTCTTCTTACTTGATCACATAAATGACAACAATTATCTTACTAGACATGGCAGCCTGTATCTGTAGTTCTTTTGTTTTGTTTTTCCAAGACAGGGTTTCTCTGTGTAACCCAGGCTGTCCTCAATCTTGAAGATCCTCTACCTTCCAAGTGCTGGGATTGGAGGCATATACCACCACTGCCCAGCCTACACCCGTAATTCTAATGACTGAAATCTTGAGGCAGAGAGACTGAGAATTCAAGGCCAGCCTGGACTACATAGTGAGAGTCTCTCTGAAAACACTAAACACCATTCCCAAAAAAACTACACACAATTTTCTCTAAATGACAGAATCAAGAATTTTACTTTTTAAACTTTAAATCCACTACAAAATACTCATGAAAAGAATGATTTTAATTTCTTAAGCTATTTACTTTTAGAAAAAAAAAATTGCTGTGGGTCTGGAACGTAAGACGGGAAGGCAAAGTTGAAAAACCACTGGCTCACCTGGAGGTCAGATTCAAGACACTTATTCACATCACTAATCATGCGAATTTCTACTGGGCAAGTTACTTACACTTTATAAACTGAGAGGGTTATACTACATTATCTTTAAGTAATTCATGAGATTATGAAAATATACAGATTTAAACCACTGTGAACTATCCAGAAATATTAGAAAGTATACTCTGAAGCTTTTCAGAATTGCTTGAGTATGGTGGTCAAGTCTAGAATTCTACCATTTGCAAAGAAGGTGGAGGCAGCAGGACTGATTAAGGCCAGCCTTGGGTACAAGAGATTCTGTCTCAAACTAACTTTCAGAATTGACATTTACACTTGGACTAGATTACTTTCATTTGTCTGTTTGTTCCAAAGATCCTCTCTTGGCCATGTGTATATTTCCTCGATTTTTGTAGTTTCTCAGTAAATTTGGGGAATTAAGTATCCCTAACCATGATCACCACTACCTCCTCTTTTAAAAAAATTATTTACTTTATTTTATGTAATGAGTGTTTTATCGGAATGTTTTACTGCGTTGTTGCCTGGATCTTAAAGTGGCCAGAAGAGAAAGCCAGATGCTCTCAATCTAGAGTCTTAATGCTGACTAATCTGATTTGCTATTAATTAGTCCAATAAATTAGCCCCATCAGAATGATGGGACCCCTACTCCCCCACCTTTCAACTTAAATTTATGAATGTCTTCCTGTTCTGTTCCAAAGCAAAATGAACATACTTTTCACTTTGCAGCTCCTGTATTTTCCTTAAATTTTCTCTGTTTTTTTCTTCAATTTCTTCTTTGAGTTCCTTTACCTGGGTTTTATAAAGTGTCTGTGAAAACAAGTGATAAGAATGAAATGTTTATGGTGAGTTCAGAATTTTTCTTTTTTAATTTTAATTTCATGAGCATTGGTGTTTTGCCTGCATGTATGTCTGTATGACAGTGTTGGATCCTTTGGAGCTGAAATTACAGATAGTTGTGAGCCACCATGTGGATGCTGGGAATTGAACTGGGTCCTCTAGAAGAGCAGACTGCTCTTAAATTAAACTGTTGAACCATCTCTATACCCCCAATTTAACTTGTTTTAACTTTTAAGATAATTTAAAGAAATTGCTGGGGTTGGAGAGATTGCTCAGTGGTTAAGAGTACTGGCTGTTCTTCCAGAGGACCCAGGTTCAATTCCCAAAAGCCACAAAGTGGCTCACAACTAACTGTAACTCCAGCTCCAGGGGATCCAACCCCCTTACACAAACATACATGCAGGCAAAACACCAATGCACATAAAATAAAAATAAACCATTAAAAACAAACAACCAGGTGGTGGTGGCACACACCTTTAATTCCAAGTACTCTGGAGGCACAGGCAGGCAGATCTCTGTGAGTTCAAGGCCAGCATGGTCTACAGAGTTTCAGGACAGCCAGGGCTGAAACCCTGTCTCAAAAAAGCAAAACCAAAGCAAACTATAGACTGAGCTAAACAGGAAAAATATCTAAGGCATTAGTTATTTCTACAAGCTAAATATGCTCATGAGCACACATATTAATTAGTGCTTATAGGCAAGCAGAGTCTTCAACAAAGTCTTTAAAAACATTTTTTTTTTTTGTTTTACTTTTTTGATAGGTATTAAGAGCTTAGACTGGGCTAGAATTTCCTGTGTGACCCATGCTATGTTTGAACTCAAGAAACCCACCCCACTCTAATTTAGTCTCCAAGTGCTGGGCATTAGGTATACATTACATGCCCAGAAAACAAGTCTTTGAGACAAGGTCTTACTCTGTAGCCCTGGCTAGCCTGGATCCACCTGCCTCTGCATCTGGAGCCCTGTGATTAAAGGCCTGTATCACCATGTCCAGCTATCAAAAGTTTTATTTATGGCTGTGATTTGGTGGTAATTAACTGCTGGAAAACTGCACAAAAAGGGGTCCCACCACCTCCCACCTTTCACAATTTAAACAGACAATGAACCTTGAAAAGAAATATAATTTTCAGAAAAAAACTCTTAAATTTCAAGCTGGCCAGTAGTAGCACACTCCTAATCCCAGCACTTTTGAGGCAGAAGCAAGAGGATCTCTGTGAGTTCGAGGCCAGCCTGGTCTCCAGAGTGAGTTCCAGGGCAGCCAGGAGCTACACAGAGAAACTCTGTACCGAAAAACCAAAAACCTCTTAAGTTTCTTAAGTCTGCTTTTAGAGTCTCTATATTAAAAATAACTTTTGGAGGCTGGAAAGATAGCTCAGAGGTTAAGAGCACTGACTGCTCTTGCAGAGGACCCAAGTTCAATTCCCAGCAACCACATGGTGGTTCACAACCATCTGTAATGAGATCTGGTGCCCTCTTCTGGTGTGCAAGCATGGATGCAGAATGTTGTATACATAATAAATAAATAAAAATCTTTAAAAAAAAAGTAACTTTCACTTACAGAAAAATACTGCTCAGCTTCAAGTTGGTCTTGTAACTCTCGCATTTGCCCCTCATTTCCTCTGTATTGCCTTAGACAAAAGAAAATCAGCAATCAGTTTTCATATTTATGATGGGTTTCATTAAGTTACTAAAAAACAAAAGGTTTGATACAATAACTTCTGTAAGAAAAAGATTTCAGGATTGTGTTATTTTTCTAGCTCATCTGGTGAGGCTGCACTGTCAGGATCCACCTTGCACTTTATAAAATGATGGTGTGCAGAGCACAGGCCCCTTCGTAATGGAAGCTTCCTTCAGAAGCACATTAACTGTGGGTCTCTCCAAACACGACATAAAACAATGACACCGCTATGGTTTGTTTTTTTCCCTGTAAATATTTGTGGAAAAAAGACAAAAATACATTTTACAGGCAAAAAAGGTCACAGGAATGTATTTTAAATGTTTTGTGTAGTAAACATTTAAAAGCAGAGATCATAAATTACTTAAAGAAAAATATAAAGTGTAATATATTTTGGCAATTAAACAGGAAGGGGTATAAAAATAATTACTTAGGGAATATAAAAGGAAAAGAAAAGAAATAAACTGGTAAGGAGAAAGACAAAATATGTTATCACACACAGTAAACACACCTCACAGGAAAAAGAACACTCCTAGGAGAGGTAGACTCAAATACATAGGAACAAAATGGAACTCAAAGACCCAGATTTTCAAGGATTAATAATTTTATCCCAGGCTGCTAGGCTTTAATATTAGATAGAAATTGCTTTGTAGTTTAGTAACAAGCCATGTAGTTGATAGAAAACACATTACAAATGTCTACTGAATGCTGACAGTTGCTTGGGGGAAAATGTGTCAGTGGCATTTTTATGGA